AGGCGGATCCAGGCCAGGGCACAGCAGGGGTGAAACCACTGGAGTTTAATGGAATCGATTCCTACAGAATAAAGAATTCCTGAGAGCCTCTCGCAGCCCCGCGGCTTCCCGGGGACACGTTCCCAAAAAAACCAACAACCTGGGAATGCATTCCCAAAATCCCAAAAAAAACATCCCGGGGACACGTTCCCAAAAAAACATCCCGGGAATGCGTTCCCAAAAATCCCAAAAAAAACATCCCGGGGACACGTTCCCAAAAAAACCAACAACCTGGGAATGCGTTCCCAAAATCCCGGGGACACATTCCCAAAAGAAACAACCTGGGAATGCATTCCCAAAAAAAACCTTCCCGGGGACACATTCCCAAAAAAAAAAACATCCCAGGGACGCGTTCCCAAAAAAAACATCATCCTGGGAATGCATTCCCAAAATCCCGGGGACACATTCCCAAAAAATCCAACAACCTGGGAATGCATTCCCAAAATCCCAGGGACACATTCCCAAAATCCCAGGGACACGTTCCCAAAAGAAACAACCTGGGAATGCGTTCCCAAAAAAAACCTTCCTGGGGACACGTTCCCAAAAAAACATCCTGGGAATGCATTCCCAAAAAAAACCTTCCCGGGGACACGTTCCCAAAATCCCAGGGACACGTTCCCAAAAAAAACAACCTGGGAATGCGTTCCCAAAAAAAAACAATCCTGGGGACACGTTCCCAAAAAAAACAACATCCTGGGAATGCGTTCCCAAAATCCCAAAAAAAACCATCCCAGGAACACAGTCCCAAAATTCCAGGGACACATTCCCAAAAAACCGTCCCGGGAACGCGGCCCCAGAATCCCAGGAATGCATTCCCAAAATTCCTGGGTCCCATTCCCAAAATTCCAGGCCCCAGAATTCCAGGGACGTGGCCCCAAAGTTTCAGGGATGCAGCTCCAAAATTCCGGGGTCCCATTCCCAAAATTCCCGGGTCCCATTCCCAAAATCCCAGGGACACGGCCCCAGAATTCCAGGGTCCCATTCCCAGAATCCCAGGGATGCAGCTCCAAAATTCTGAGGACGTGGCCCCAAAATTCCAGGGAAAGATTCCCAAAATTCCAGGGACACAATCCCAGAAACATCCCGGGAACGCATTCCTAAAATTCCAGGGTCACATTCCCAAAAATCCCAGGGGAGCTGCCCTAAAATCCCAGGGGATCCAACCCCAAAAAATTCCAGGGGGGGACATTCCCTAAAATTCCAGGGGGGAAAATTCCCAGAATTCCAGGGGGAAACATTCCCAGAATTCCAGGGGGAAAATTCCTGGAATTCCAAGGGGGAAAACATTCCCGGGATTCCAGGGGGGAAAATTCCCGGAATTCCAGGGGGGGAAAACATTCCCGGAATTCCAGGGTGGGAAAATTCCCAGAATTCCAGGGGGGGAAAACATTCCCAGGATTCCAGAGTGGGAAAATTCCCGGAATTCCAGAGTGGGAAAATTCCCGGAATTCCAGAGTGGGAAAATTCCCGGAATTCCAGCCCCTCTCCCTCCCTCCACCCCAAATCCAGCTCAAGGCACTGAAACGCCGGAAAACCGCGGGATCAAAGCCATTTTTCCATAGTTTTTCTATTTTTTGGGAATTTTTTTTTCCATCTAAATCCGGTAGAAACTTTAATTTCCTCTCTTATTTACACATTTTTTTGGGAATGGCCGATTCCGACCGATTTTTCCCGGTTTTTTTTTGTTTTTCCCGTTTCTCCTCCCCTCTCATCCATGGAAAAAAGGGAAAATTCCTCTCATTCCCGACTTGGGAAAAATGAAATAAAAAAAAAAAACGGGAATAAAACGCCAAAAAAAAGGGAAAAAAACCAAAAAAAAAACCAAAAAAAAAAAATTAAGAAAAAAAATTTAAGCAGCTTCAGCCATCCCGAAAAACGCAAAAAAAACCTGGGAAAAATCCTTGGAAAATCCTTGGAAAATCCTTGGAAAATCCTTGGAAAATCCTTGGAAAATCCCAGAAGGAGCTGAGCGGTCGTTGGGATGGATTTTAGTGTATGATACAACTTTACAGGGAAAGGGGGGAGTTATCCACAGGGAATTCCGGGAATTCCCGGCTTTTCCAGAGGGGGAACTGAGGAGGGAAAAAATCCCCAGGGAAAGGAGGAGCTGGGAAAAAAAACAAAGCTTGGAAAAGCCCCCCCGGAGCTCGGTTCGGAATTCCCGAGAGGTTTTCCCGGTTTTCCCACGGGAAAAATTGGGATTTGGGATTCCAATCCTGGCTGGGATTCCTTGGATCCCTTTCCCAATCCTGGCAATTTTGGGTTTTGTTCGTTCCCAAAGGAAAAATTTCGTTCCCATTTTTTTTTTCCCCATTTTTTTCCAATTTTTTTCCCATTTTTTCCTCATCTTTTTCCCCATTTTTCCCCATTTTTTCCCCATTTTTTCCCAGGTTTTTTCCCATTTTTTCCCAATTTTTTTCCCAGGTTTTTTCCCAATTTTTCCCCATTTTTTTCCAATTTTTTTCCCATTTTTCCCCCATTTTTTTCCCATTTTTTCCCCATTTTTTTCCCATTTTTTCCCAATTTTTTTCCCATTTTTTTTCCAATTTTTTTCCCATTTTTTTCCATTTTTTCCCATTTTTTCCCCAGGTTTTTTCCCATTTTTTCCAATTTTTTCCCAATTTTTTTCCCATTTTCCCCCCATTTTTTTTCCCATTTTTTCCCATTTTTTTTTCCCATTTTTTTTCCTATTTTTTCCCCATTTTTTTCCCAGGTTTTTTCCCATTTTTTCCCCATTTTTTTCCTAGTTTTCTTTCCCTTTTCCCAATTTTTTCCTCCTTTTTTTTTTCCTCCTCCTCCTCCTCCCTCGGGAGTGTCCGAACTTCATTCCCGGGGATCCTCCGGAATTCCCGGCCTCCGGATCCAGGAATTCCCTCCCAGCAAAAAAAACAAAATTCCAGGAAAATCAAACGAAAATCCCAAAAAAAAAAAAAAAAAAGTTGGATTTTGCTGGAAAAGCTTCCCCAGTCCCTTCCGGATCCGGGAATTCCTGGGAAGAGCCCCCAGGAATCCCGGAATTCCCAAATCTTTCCCCCGAATCCGGCGTTCCCGGGGGGTTTTTTATGTACACGGCGCCAAATCCCGGCCTGGGAGCCCATCCCGGAATTCCGGGAATTCTGAGATTCCCGGGAACGCTGAGGGCTGGTCCCGGAATCCTGGGAATTCCGGGAATTCCGGGAATGCTCCCTTCTCCTCGGCTCCCTGCTGGGCTCGGATGAAGCCAATCCCAGGAATTCCAGGATTCCCGGGAATTCTCAGTTCTCCTCGGATGAACGCCATTCCCACAATCCCAGAATTCCTGGGAATCCCAGGAATGTTCAGCTCTCCTCGGCCCCCTGCCGGGCTCGGATGAAGCCATTCCCAGAATCCCAGAATCCCAGAATTCCCGGGAATTCCAGGAATTCTCAGTTCTCCTCGGCCCCCTGCCGGGCGCGGATGAAGCCATTCCCAGAATTCCAGGAACTCCAGGAATCCCGGGAATTCCAGGAATCCTCAGTTCTCCTCGGCCCCCTGCCGGGCGCGGATGAACGCCATTCCGTGGGTCCGGAAATGCGTTTTCAGGTTGAGCTGACTCTCGAATCCTCTCCCGCAAACTTTGCACTCCAACTTCCCCTGCGCCGCTCCGCCTGTTCCTCCGCCTGTTCCTCCGCCTGTTCCTCCGCCTGTTCCCCCGGCTGTTCCCCCGGCTGCTCCCCCGGCGGAACCGGCGCCGCCCCCTCGGGAGGCGCTTCCCGGCTCCTCGGCGGGATCCGAGCCCTTGCGCTTCTTGTGGGAGATGAAGCGGTGCCGGCTGAGGGAGCCGGGGGAGGCGAAGCACAGCCCGCACTCCCGGCACTGCTGGCTGCCCGTCGCCGTGGCTGCGCCGCTTGTTCCGGTTGCGCTCGCGGTGT